GACAGACAGAGACAGAAAGAGAAAAGAGAGAAGACAGAAAAGAGACAGAGAGAGAGAGAGGGAGAGATAGAAAGAGAAAAGAGAGAAGAGCAAAAAAAAGAGAGAGAGAGAGAGAAAGAGAAGGGGGAGGGAGAGAGAGAGAAAAAAGAGGAAAAGAGAAAGAAGAGAGAGAGAGACAGAAAGAGACAGAAAGAGAAGAGAGAGAGGGGAAGGAAGAGAGAGAGGGGAGGGAGAGAGAGGGAGAGAGAACCAGGGTGGAAGCCAGGGAGGCAGGTGAGCCAAGTGCAGCATCCTTTGAGAAGGGCGCACCAAACCCTTTGCCCTCCCGTCCCCACCTGCTACTTCTGGGTGGGTGGGAGACAGAGGGAATTCCTCCCCAAAACAACAAAACCCCAAGCTAAAAATACATTCACCATAAAACACTAGCTACAACATTTAGTGATAGTTATTACATAAAGATAGCAATTACATAAATCATACTAGGTTACGAAGTAAACCATTTAAATCATGAGATACAAGCAACAAGTGTGCACATTTTACAGGTGCACATTTTATAACCCATGTCTTCCCCCCCCCCCCATTTTGGGGGGTTGGTTTGTGTTACAGGTTACGGAAAACATAATAACAGCAGAACCTCATTGTCTTAGCACTCTGTAAATTTGGTTGTGAAGATGAGAAGGGGATTGAAAAGGCAACCGGTGTGAAAGTTGGAACGCTTTGTTGAGAAGCTTGAGTGATGCTTATAAAATGGGCCTCCTTCTTTTCCCTTTTCAGTGTGCTGTCTTGGCACCTTTAATCATCCCCTATGACAGTCTCGGTCCATTAGGAAGATTCACAAGATATCTGCAGGAGAACCACAGAACTGTTTTCCATGGAGGGTAAGTTGACTTCAACACTTGGGGACCCAGTTCCCTTGCAGGGGCTATTTAGCTCCTAGCAACAGCAATAGCCCTTAGACTTATATACCACTTCACAAGTGCTTTCCAGCCCTCTCTAAGCGGTTTTGAGAGACAGCCTCTTGCCCCCGACAATCTGGGTCCTCATCTTACCCACCTCAGAAGGATGGAAGGCTGAGTCAACCTTTAAGAGGAAGGAAGGAAGGAAGGAAGGGAAGAAGGGAGGAAGGAAGGAAGGAAGGAAGGAAGGAAGGAAGGAAGGAAGGAAGGAAGGAAGGAAGGAAGATAGCAATAGCCCTTAGACTTATATACCACTTTATAGTGCTTTCCAGCCCTCTCTAAGCGGTTTTACAGAATCAGCCTCTTGCTCCCAACAATCTGGGTCCTCATTTTACCCACCTTGGAAGGATGGAAGTCTGAGTCAATAACAATAACGATAGCCCTTAGACTTATATCCTGCTTCATAGTGTATTACAGCCCTCTCTAAGCGGTTTACAAAAATAATATTTTTCCCAACAATCTGGGTTCTTATTTTACTGACCTCAGAAGGATGGAAGGCTGATTCAATAGCCATATAGCCCTTAGACTTATATACTGCTTCACAGTGCCTAACAGCCCTCTCTAAGCAGTTTGCCAACCTCAGAAGGATGGAAGCCTGAGTCAACCTCAAGTCAGTCAGGATCGAACTTCAGGCTGTGGGCAGAGTTTGCCTGAAATACTGCATTTTAACCACTGCACCATCATGGCTCATAACAAGCCAGACGTTTATGTGGACATGTGGGAAAGTTGGTTTCCAGATGGTTGGGAAACGGACAGACATTACAAAAGTAATATGCATCTTCAGACAGCTTCTCTTGCTGTGGAAAACAATGTTTTTAGGAGGACGGTATAGGACAGACAGAGCCCGAAGGCAGAGTCAAGAGAGTTATCAGCCTGGAATCATTACATTTCCACAAATAATGATCTATGTCCAGTCCTCTTGAATTCTGTTAAGTCTTATCGAATACCAATTTAACACTGATCTTAGTTGACCAGATTCTTGTCTATAGATATGAGCAAGAGATCAACTTAACTGGAATTTAACACATGCTTGACAGGCAGCAATGCAATGAAATGGGAAAACTGGTTACCTTTGCCAAGAGAAAGCTGGGCTCTGATCCATTTGAGGAGGTGTTTCCCAACTTCCAGAGGCGTTTATTGCAACTCTCAGAATTCTTAGCAGTGCCTTGACTTCTGGGTTTTGAAACCTAGTTTTGTAAAGTCTAGGATTATGGGGAATGATGGAAATCCAAGATTTTTCCCACCAGAATGATGTTTCGAGGTCAAGCCATCCCAACACAGGACATAGAAATATGTTTCTATGACCAAACATCGTGTTTTGGAAGTCATCAGAAACAAAACTCAGAATGGTTTTCTGAGTTCCATCAAATGTGGACAGATCCCAGAGAGGTTTTACAGGACAACCTGGGACACATATTTCCCCTTCTCTTCCTTTTCCCATCTACTCCCCTTCAGGCCTTCTTTCTTCTCAGCCCTTTCCTTCCTTTCCTTAACTGATGCCCCCAGTTGACTAAACTTTTTCAATGACCTGAGGACAAATAACAAGGCAAATTCCAAAGTCAAATGAGATCAGAAGACAAAAGAAATCTAGAACCTGGGCAAATGCAGACTCATTCAACCTCCCAGAGAAGCAAGACCAGTTTCTGGTCATCGTAGGAGTTAGAGACATTCAAAGTTGAGGAATCAAACTTAGGAATGCTTCCATCTTAAGAATGCTTCTGTGGAAGACTTCTGGGGAAGATGGGGGAAAAATATACTTGCCAAGTGAGTGTAGATTTTGAATCTGGGGTAACCCATCACCCAACAGTGGTTGACTCCATCAAAGGGTTTATTCTATGTGGTGGAGAATGCAATGAAAAGATAACCTAGGGTAGAACTCAACTCCCAGTATATTTTGGCTTTAAGAATTGGTTTAAAAAAAAAACAAATATTGCATCCAGAGCAGCTGGGAAGTTCTCACAGACATATCTCACTACACAACTATATCAACTAGCAGGGCAATAATCTGAATTTGGAGGAGAAAGATTAAGAGGGATGAACACACATACACTTTTCATACTGCCTTAAAACGAGACTATCTGTCCCTGATGCTGGACAAATCCAGGAAAAGTTGTTTTTCAAAGTGTTGTTGGAAAACCCTCTGGAACCCTTTTTTTAAAAAAAATTACTTTATAACCCTATGGGTGATTGAGACACAATGGAGAGTTTCACCTTTTCCCTTTTCTGAACTGACAACTAATTTATTCTTGGCAACCCTGATGCTGTTTTTCTTAATTACAGATATGTGGTGGCTTGGTTAATTCATATCGGAGAAGCATGTTTAAGTATCTGGTTATGCAAGTAAGTTCTTCTAACTTCTTCAGGAGTTGAAGGTGGCACACTTTGAGTTGGGTTGGTACGGTAGTTTTCTACATCTAGAAATACTCCTTGTGAACAGAATAGAATATAAAACAGAACAGAATAGGATGCAGAATAGAGAATAGAGTCGAGCCAAGTCGAATAAAATGGAAATAGAATAGAAATAATGGAATATAAGAATAGAATAGAATATGGAATAAGGATAGAATTGAATTGAATTGAATTGAATTGAATGCAAAATGGAATGGAATCAGAATAGAATAGAATAGAATAGAATAGAATAGAATAGAATAGAATATTCTTTATTGATCAAGTGTGATTGGACACATAAGGAAATTGTCTCCAGTACAGAAGCTCTCAGTGTAGGAAGGAAGAAGTGATAAATCATGATCATGATCATCATAAAATACAGTCATAAATCTATAAGACATAACACTCAGTGATAATCATAGAATACTAAATAAACATAAATCATGAGATAACAAACAACAAAGTTGTCAGAAGAAGCTAAGGAATTAGGCAAGAGGCAAGAAGGATAATGGCTAATACAGCCTTACTAGGTGGTTTGACATCCCAGGGTGTAAGACCGTGTTGTAGGAATTCATTGTTTGGCATGGGGGGAAAAACTGCCCTTGTGTCTAGTTGTTCTGGTGTGCAGGGCTCTATAGCGTCGTTTTGAGGGAAGGAGTTGAAACAGTTTATGTCTGGGATGTGAGGGGTCTGTAGATCTTTTCACAGCCCTCTTTTTGACTCATGCATTTTATATGGGTCCTCCATGGAAGGCAGGCTGGCTGCAGTTGTGTTTTCTGCAGTCCTAACTATCCGTTGGAGTCTGGGTCTGTCTAGTTTGGTGTCTAAGATAGGGACAACTGCCTCCCACATCTAAAAGGTTGCAGGAAGGACTCCCACATTAATTGTGGAATAGACATGTGGGAAATATTCAGAAATAATACGATTTTCCATTCCCGTACACATCAGTCCTCGACTTACGACCCCAATTGAGTCCAAAATTTCTGTGGCTAAGCGAGACCGTTGTTAAGTGAGGCTTGTCCCCTTTCCACAACCTTTCTTGCCGCAGTTGCTGAGGGAATCACTGCGATGGCTCAGTTAGTAACACCGTTGTTAAGTGAATCTGGCTTCCCCTTTGGCTTGGCTTGGCAGACAGAGGGGCAAAAGGCGGCCACGTGACCATGGGACACTGCAACCATGATAAATGTGAGTCAGTGGCCTGGGATATTAATTTTAATCAGGTGGTGCAACAGTTTTCGTAAATGTGAAGAATGGCCCCAGGTCAGTGCTGTTGAAACTGTTGTAAGTCGACAACGACTTGTACTTTCATTGCAAGCTTGGATCTGTAAACAAAATATGGTGACCTAAAGACTTAAATTGCTCAGTGTTACACGGAGATTATCTGGAGATGAAACAACAGGTAGCTGATCTCAGTTGACCTGCCTAACAAGTTCCCCTGGGGGAGACCTCTTACTCAATCGAGGGTGGAGTGTGCCAAATACGGCAAACACCTTTGTGGGATTTCAAAACCCTCTTTTGCCACATTATATTTCATCTTGCACTTCATTTCTTTCCCATCCTTTATCTGAGCCCACAGAAGCAATTACTGGCCCAACTCAGGATGTTCTCGTTGCACAAGAACACATTCATTTCTCAGTTGATTTTTCTGCAGGTTGCATGCTAACCAATAATTAATGCAAAGGAATTAATCTGAAAACATAAGCAGGGTAAGAAGTTGGGTTATACAGGAAGGAGCAGAAGAAGCCGATGACTGTTGGGGTCCTTGGTGATTTTCTTGCAGACGTTTCATTATCAAACTAGGTAACATAATCAGGTCCTTAGTTCTGAGTTTGGTTGTTTTCTTGCAGACGTTCCATCACCAAACTAAGTAACACCATCAGTGCAATTTTCAGTGCAGAATAAGAAGAATAAGGAAAAGAACGGTCCTCCAGATTTATATGCAGATCCAAAATAGGTTTTGTAACTGGGAATTAGGTCCCACACTGTGAAGAATCAGGAAGGAGGTTAGCCTAGCTTGTTTTTCCGATCGCGGAATACGTACCCAAGATCACACAACTTTATTTAAGCTTGAGCTATTTTCCCAACTCAATAACTACCACTATCATGTGCCTCTCTTTTTTTCCTCACAGTAAGAAAGGCATCACGGACAGCAAGACACAGCTTTTGTGGTTCGTTCAAACGCTGCTCTTTGGCTTTGCTTCGCTTTATTTCTTGGTGGTTTACAAGCCACCCAAGAAAACCCAGTGAAGAATTGGAAGTGGAAAAGGAAACAGAAATGGGATGATATATATGCCCTAAACACCGAAGGATCTCTCAGTGTTTTGGCATTTCACCGAAAACACCTTTCAACTGTTGCCTGGAAAGACAAAATAAATAAATAAACTTTGCTTTGGGGGCACACTGGTGATAGACTAGCTGCTAAAGGGGAAATCACATTTTAAATGGGGAATCAAAAGTTCTCACCTTACAGAAGACCTGCTGTTGAAAGATGGAACTATCCTGCCTTTTCTATTCTGTCTTTAATAATAAAAAGAGACCTCGGTATTAGGGTAAGAGCTGTTACACTGTTAATTTGGGGAAATAAAATCCTGTTTTCCATACATGTAGTTCTTGGCTTACAACAGTTTGCTTAGTGATAGTTTGACGCTAGAACGGCACAGAAAAAAGTGACTTATGACCAGTGGTGGGATTCATTTTGTTTACTACTGGTTCTGTGGGCGTGGTTTGGTGGTGTGGCTTGGTGGGCGTGGCAGGGGAAGGATACTGCAAACTCTACATTTCCTCCCCACCCCAGTGCCTGCTTTCCAGCTCCGTTCTCCTGTGCAGGGCAACCAAAGGAGACCCAGCCAATCAGCTGGGACTCAATGGGAGACAGAAATAGATGCTGGCAGGGCCAATCAGAGGTGGGATTGGCCGGCTCTCCGAACTACTCAAAATTTCCACTACCGGTTCTCCAGAACTGCTGAATCCCACCTCTGCTTACGACCATTTTTCACACTTAATGACCATTGCAGGATCTCCATGGTCACGGGATTTACATTCAGATGCCTGACAACAGACTCACATTTACGACGGTTGCTGTGTCCCTACCTTTTTTTGCGACCTTCCAACAAGTGACATCAACGGGGGAAACCAGATTCGTGTTAATGACTGTGTTTATTTAATTTAATTACTAATTTAACGAGGACCCAAATTGTTTGGGAGCCAGAGGCTGACTCTGTCAAACTGCTTAAGAGAGGGCTGTGAAGCACTATAAAGCGGTATATAAGTCTAAAGCAAGAAGCATCCTCACCCCCCTTCGGAATGGCAGCGTTCCGAATAGTTCATCGGAATGCTGGAAATGTAAACCGACTCAAGGAACATACTATCATACGTGGTGGACATGCCCAGTAGCAAAAAAAATATTGGATAAGGATAAGAAGGTGGATAGAGGAAATAATCAAACAACAAATAGAGTTAAAACCAGAGATATTCTTACTAAGCATACCGTGTTTCTCCAACAATACGGCCTCCACCAATAGGAAGGCCCAGCATGTTTTATTGGCATAAAATCAAATTAAGCCCCTCCCCCCAAATTAAGGCCTATATTAAACATGCGAAATGGGGGGAATGGCAGGGGGGGGGCTTGCCGTTAGGAAGTACTTTTGTTGCATACCCGGATATGGTGCTGCCTGCGTTGGTGGGGCACTTCGTATTGGGAGACCTTCCGCCACCGTTGCTTTCCGTTCTCCCTTGCTGCCGCAGCGTTTAGAGCAACGCCGCAGCGTTTGGCGCAGCCATGCGCGGCCAGCCAGGGCTCCTCCCTGCAACCGGAGCCCTGCGGAGACACTTGGCTTCAGGCGCTCCTGTCGCCACCTTCCCTTTGCCTTCGAAGGGAAAGCCAATTATTTTAAAAACAACAAAGCCTCCCCTGTCCAAGAGGGCAGCCCAACCCCACATGGGGAGGCGAATCTCCCAGGGCCGCAGCGCAGGATCAGCCCACCCCGGGAGAAGCACCCAGCCGCCATCCCTGCCTGGCGCCGTGCAGAGTGCGAAGAGCTTCGCCTGGGGCGCCCTCCATTCATCCCACCAAGACCGCACCGGAGCTGTGCGGGCTGGGCAGAGCTGGGAAAGTGAGCCGTGGGTGCGCGCCCGCTGCCAAGCAAAAGAGCCAGGCTGACCCAAGCTTGGCTTCATTCCCAAGTCCCTCCAGCCCAAACCTGAAGGGGCCACCAGGAGAGGCCGCCTGAGGCAGTGATAGCGCCCACCCATCCGTGGACAGGGAGGCAAGGTAATGGCCTGTGCCGCATCCTCCTCCAAGCTGAGCCCCGCCGAGTCAGCGCCTCTGCCTGATGCCCGTTCCGCTGCAGCATTGGGAGCTGCTGGCGCATTTGGAGATGCGTGGGGACGGGGACAGGCTGGGTGAGGGGTGGAAAGGACGGGGGGCTTCGGGCTCTCTCCGATGGCCAGGGAAGCAGCGCTGCCATCACCTCGCCTCCCTGTTCACGGACGGGTGGGCGCTATCACTGCCTCGGGCAGCCTCTCCCGGTGGCACCTTCGGGTTCACGCTGGAGGGACTTGGGAAGGAAGCCAAGCTCAGGTCGGCCCGGCTCTTTTGCTTGGCAGGCGGGCGCGTACCCGCGGCTCACTTTCCTGGCTCTGCCCAGCTCGCACGGCTCTGGAGCGGCCCTGGCGGGATGAGCGGAGGGTCCGGCGGGGAGGCGCTCGCTGCCTTGGTGAGAGCTCTGCTGCCGGGAAGGAGGGCCTGCCTGTCAGCTGCGCTAGGCGCCCCAGGCGAAGCTCTTCGCGCTCTGCCCGGCGCCAGGCAGGGATGGTGGCTGGGCGCTTCTGCTGAGGTGGGCCGATCCTGCGCTGCGGCCCCAGGAGATTCGCCTCCCCACGTGGGGTTGGGCTGCCTTCTCGGGCAGGGGAGGCTTTGTTGTAGTAGGTTGTCGTTTTTAAAAGAATTGGCTTTACCTTCGAAGGCAAAGGGAAGGCGGCGACAGGAGTGCTTGAAGCCGAGTGTCTCCGCAGGGCTCCGGTTGCAGGGAGGAGCCCTGGCTGGCCACACGTGGCTGCGCCAAACACCGCGGCATTGCTCTAAATGCCACGGCAGCAAGGGAGAAGGGAAAGCAACGGTGACAGAAGGTGTCCCGATACGAAGTGCCCCACCAACGGTGAGGTCAACATCCAAGCTGTTGCCGCCTGCCCACCCAAGGATGCAAGGGGGGGGGAATTAAGTCACCCCCGAAAAGACGGCCTAGCCATTTTTTAGGGGGTCAAAAAAAAAAAAAAGGCCCGGCCTTATTTTGTGAGAAACACGGTATTATTACATTGCCCATTTTATAAAAATGCACAAGGTTTCATATTCCATTTTTTAAAAACTAAATTTCAGATCTATCAAGCTTATTTTACATACAGAGGTTGCTAGTCAACGAGTATATTTAGTTTCTTTGAAGGTAGCCAAGTCTTGTTTCATTGGTTGTAAAACCTGTCATAACCAATCATTTCTTAAATTATCATTTTCAAATTTTGTTGATGCAAGCTAGGCGGAGTCATTCTTGCAGCCAAGCAGCCTCTAGATCTCATCAAGAAATAAAAAGTAGCAATAGCTAAACAATCGAGATTTATTTTATTTTATTTGGTCGAATGTTTAATTTCTATCTTCTTTAAGTGGAACTGGGGTCATTGGCCCGAATAAACGGACTAACCAGAGCTGTCTAAACTACAGTGCATCAGACGGAGAGCTGTCTTCCAGAATTATTGCTGTCAAGAAAAATTGGAAGAGCTATGCTTCCTTGCAACCCTATGCAAAAGGCAGAATATGAATCTAACAAGCACATTATAGTTCCTGTTCAGCTCCGAAGTATCCTTTTTACAGGTCTTTTAAGAAACCCAAAACAACAAAAAAGTTAACATCTTGAGAACATTTTCAACAGAGTTTGCATCTTCTTAGGATCCCCAAACGCAGTAGCCAAACATAATTTAGGTAGAGAATGATTTTTTTGGGGTGTGGGGGGAGAAGAAATTCTTCAGGTCATGCAAATAAGTGGGATCTTTAGACAGTTCAAGAGAGTAGGGAAGTTTGCTAAATTGCCTCAGGGAAGACTCAATTTTTCAGCCTCAGAAACTGGAAATGGTGACAAGTTCAACAATTTACCGTAGATGAGGAAAGAACAAGCGATCAACTTACAACTCAGAAAGAGGTGATTTTGTGCAATTAATTTTGTGACTTTGTAATTAGGATACACACACATACACACATACATACATACAATAATTACAAAGTCACAGTTTTAATTTTTATATATATATATATATATATATATATATATATGTATCAAGAGCAATGGACTCAGCTGTGTTGGCAATATCAACCGTTTGCTACCGTTTGTTGCCAGCACAGCTGAGTAAGTACTAAGTAACAAAAGAGGCGGTAGCCTCAACTCAGATATCTGCAGATTTTCGAAATTACACCTAATTGTGGCTTTCTGTGTTGAGAAACAAAATGTGGGTTGATTACAAGCGACTGAACTTTTTGCCAAGAGTACATAAATGTGGAAATCCTCATGTGGTCACCACCTTAATGGGTTTACTTATTAATTTTCCTTCTTGAATGTTCTCTCTTCCAATCAGGCTGAAACACAAGGCAATATCTGCATGATTTGACTCCTTAGGAATAAACTTGCTTTGAAGTCTGAATGTATTTTACCTTAAAAAAACAAAAACAAACAGAGAGCAGACTCCTAAGGAAACCTCTAACCCAAAATGTAGCCCAGTGTTTTCTTTAAAAACCTAACATTTTAAATTGAGCTGTGGCAAGGTTGGGCCCTAATACAAAGTACTTGCCAGGTCCAAAATGATGAAGAAAAGATTAAAACAATTCAGACTTGGGAAAAAGTATTTAAGAGATCAACTCTTCTAAAAGATGAAGAAGACAGATCCTTTTCTTCCAGACTGGTTGCCAGAAATAACTAATAATAAATGTTCAGATTAGTAAACATTTAACTTGTAATTTTTAGGGACTGCTGAAGTAGCAATATTGGCCTGACCCAGAAATTAGGAAGATAGAATGATGAACTGGAATTTAATGTACGCCATTTATAGATCTGTGCAAAAACTCTCTTGAATGAAATAAATAAAACTTAAAGATACTCTGTACTGATAGTTCTTTCAGACTGCAATCTGTTGGGGAGATATACGTCAACTCTGTCACTGATGGCTCACCAAGTATTAAGATGTTCTAGGAAGAAATGCTACTTGCAATATATTTAGCTTTCCATGTATTTTTTTTTAAAGTGGAGCTTCTCATCAGCTGTCGTCATCTTCACCGTTCCACCCATGTTATCATTGGATAACGATCTGTGAGGATCTTTCTTAATTGAGACGTATGGCTTCTGTCTCTGGTTTCTACCACACAGGACACCTGGGAAGGAAAAGTGTATTACGTTTCAGTAAACTAAATCAGGGCTTTAGAAAACTATTGAGCTCAATTTTCTTTTTTCTTTTAAAGACTCTGTAATCCCCTCGCATCAAGGCAAAGTGAATGGAGGTGAGCGTTTGCTTAAAGCTAGACAAAACCAAATGGATGGTTTCAGGATTAACTGATTAAAAAAGGATTATTTATGGGAAAAAGGAGACCAAGATATGTACTTTGGGAGGATGAAGATAATGGCACTTATTCCTTTGTTAACTGCTGCAAAAAAATATTAGAGATTGTTCTGGATATTTCCCCCTTTCTTTCTGTTTTTCCTCTTTCCTTGACTTCGACTGTCTCACTTTTCTTTCTGTTTTTCTTTCTCATCTTTGACATGTCCATAGTTTTAATCTGATGTAAAACGTTCTCAGCAAAAAAAATTACGTATTAAAAAGGCACCTCCAATCAATTTGCAAGCCAAATACTATCACTGGTTGTGGATGGAGCCTGTAAGTTAAGAAGACTTCATGCAGCTTTCAGCTTTCTCATCTTGAATGCAAAGCTGTTTAACTGGATTGCTAGAAACCTGATTCTCTAGCCAGCTCAGAAGCATTACGTGAAGAACTTGGTATAGCTCAAGTTAAAATGGAATTTAACCGACTTTCTCATCTCTTGCTTACCTCACTGGTGAACAAATCAGTTCTCATGTATGGCTGTTCCTGTTTCATGGTCAAGATTCTGGAACAAAGATATGTTTTTATGTAAGGTTGTAGCTAGTTCAGTCTCACAGGCATGAGGCAATAATGGAGTTTTTGGCAGAATTTCTGCAAACCACCTCAAGGCCAGTTTGAATAAAGAATAATGGAAATTTAAGACTTTAAAGAAAGTCTACGTCAGATCTTTCTGTGGCATTGCTGTTTCCATTGCTTAGACAGTAAGATTATTTTGTCAAAGCATTTCTTGGTTTCTGTGTATTTGTGTTAAATGCAGATTTTTTTTAAAAAAGAAAAATATGTAGTTGCTAGGTGGAATGGACACCTTCAATTTTCTAGACCAGGGGTCTTCAAACTTGACCGCTTTAAGACTTGTGGACTTCAGCTCCCAGAATTCCTCCTCCAGTTATGTTCGCTCAAAAATTCTGTGAGTTGAAGTCCACAAGACTTAAATGTGCCAAGTTTAGAGAGCCTTGTTCTAGATTAATGACTGGGAACTACGGCAAATAAACTTAGTGACATTTTCATCTTCAGATGCAAAATGTCCTTTCTGATGTCCTACTTGTGCTGGCAGAGAGGGCCTACTTTGGATCCATTGGTCAAAGAGGTCTAACTTCTGTGGTCCAGAAGAAGAGTCTCTGCTGTAGCTCTTGTCCTGTGGAAACATCTTAAGCAAGATCCACTTCCACCCATCTATCGTTTCACAAGAACCTGAAGTTAGTCTTGGGTTCAAATGGGGCAGTTCCACACTGGAGGTGTCTGCTGGATTGATGGCAGATCCCACCTCCTTCCTTCCCCTCTGCTCTCCACCTATCCAGCTTGTGGGTTATCATACTGGTGTATTCTTATGGTCTACTTTTGTCAAATGTTTGTTTTATTGTTCTATTGTTTTACTTCTGTTTATATGCCTTTCCCTTTCCTTCCTTTTTTATTGTTGTAAGCCGATAATAGAGTAGCCCCCATGGCAAGATAGGAGGCAAATAAATCTAACAAATAATTAAATTTTCTATGCATACATGTATTCTAGACATGGAGGATTTTCATGGGCAAAACTTGACTTCCTCCACTAAAGATGACAAGATACCAAGCCAACTTCGGGTCCAGGTGACTATATGGACACATCCAGATAGGTTTTCTGGTGATAACTGTGAATATTTTTTTTGTTTTATTCAATCTTTTCAACCTAGTACACAGGTTGGTAGATTATGGTCTCCATCAAAATGAAACCACGTTTAGATTACCTTGCCTCCTCACGAGCTAAGGTCTCCAGTAGCTTTGAAATCTCTCCTGGACAATCAGTGACCGTGACCCTGAATTTGCACACTCTGTTATCAAGAGTAAGGGCCTGATCCATGCACTGCTTCATCAGAGGGAGCTCCATGTTTCCACTGCTCACAGCCACAGCCACTCTGAAACAAGGGGAGAAAATTAAATGAACCACTTTTCCCTTTAGGCAAACACATTTCATAGCTTGTTTGATAGACTTCGTTTGATAGTTTGACAGCTATTTTCCAGAGCGCCTGTAGGCCAGACAAGGAATAATGGATGGAAACTGAACAAGGAAAGATTTAACCTGGAAATAAGGAGAAACTTTCTGACAGTGAGAACAGTCAACTCATGGAACAGAAGTTGCCCTCGGAAGTTGTGGGAGCGCCATCCCTTGAGACTTTCAAGAAGAGATTGGGCTGCCATTTGTCAGAAATGGTGTAGGGTCTCCTGCTTGGATGGGGTGGGGTTGGACTAGCCATCTAGCCTACAAGGTCCCTTCCAACTCTGTTATCTAATAGGATCAAGGATTAAAATACACCATATGGTTTCCCTTTGGCCATCTCTAACGATAGTCTTCTACTAGATAAGCGTGCATAAGCGCACAATCATGCCTACCAACCCTGTCCTATTGTACCCTATTATTAGTTCCTCTTTCTTATATTTAAACTTATGTTTATTCTTATTTCTATTATATTGTAAGCATTTGACAAAATAAATAAATAAATAAAACAAATAGGTGCTTGTTTTATAAGCCTTCTAGATTTGTAGACCTTTGTCTCCATATCTGCCCAGCTTCTTCTACATTCTACATATGTAATGATCCATTTATTTGGATTTCAATTTCCATCATTCTGTGGGCTCAACTCCCAGAAGAATACAAGGCTGGGGAAAAACTGGTCTCCCAGTAAAAATTAGTTCCTGATTTTCATTCCTTTGAATGAATCCAACCAGAAGCCAACAAAGTAGGAGATTTTGGAGAACAACATTATCCAGAGTGGAACGGATTAAAATCTCTCTTCCTCTTGTCTCATTCTAAGTCAGAGTCCTTCACCCATTTTTTTTTAAAAGGAAAATGTATAAAGAAAAGCAACACAAGTTTTGTTCCATCTTATTATTATTTTTCTACACCACCTGGGAGAGTAAAGATGTCGACCTACCAAAGAGATGAAGGACATCATTGAGTCCAAGTCAACTCTCTTGGGATGGTTTTGCCATTGTCTAGGGTACAACCTTGACATTCTTCTTTGGGTGGTCTTTCCAGTCCAATAAATATACAAAACCAAGCTTTCGGGTAGATTGTATACCTTTTGCCCTTTAATTCTGGCAGTTTCCCAGACACGAGAGCAGCCAGCGCAAGGGCTCCTTCGGCGTCAACAGCCACGTGTTCGTATTCCAGCAACCTCAGCATAGAAATCAAGACGTCTTCTTCCCTGAGGATGGGGGAGAACAGCTGGGTCAAACAGAGGGGCTTCTGCCCCCCCCCTTTCTCCCCCATGAAAATACGACCACTTGATTTCTTAATGAGCCAAAACTATTGCACTGAGCACAGCAAGCGAATCGGAATGGTTCGTTTTTGTCATGAACCCAAGTTTGGGTGACCATCTAGCCAAGATTCTGTGCAGTTCGGTGCACCCGTAAATCCCAGCCCTGGCTGGCCCCACCCACCCCTCCCTTCCCCTCCTTGGAGTCCCCACATGGCCCATTTTGGATGCCAGGTAAGTCCCGCGTGGAGGCTCAGGGAGGGCGAAAAACGGGCCTCCCAGAAGGCCAGAAACAGGCCTGTTTCCGGCCTCCAGAGAGCCTCTGGAGCCCAGGGGAGGCTGTTTTTGCCCTCCCGGAGGCTCAAGGAAAGCCTCCGGAGCCCAGGGAGAGCAAAAACAGCCCTTCTGGCGTGGTGCAAGAAGCCGACTAGACCACATCCACCATGGCCACACCCACTCATCAACCAGGCAGAGAACCGATTGCCCAAATTTTTGAAGTCCACCCCTGGTCATGCCCAATGCAGGCAGTCCTCAACCACAAGGGAGCCCAACTTTTCTGTGGCTAAGTGAGACTGTTGTTCAGTGAATGTTGCTCCATTTTACGACCTTTATTGGCACGGTTGCTAAGTGAATCCCTGCAGCCGGTAAGTTAGTAACCCAGTGGTTAGGCAAATCTGGCTTTTCCATTGACTCGTCAGAAGGTCGCCAAAGGGATCGTGTGACCCCAGGGCACTGCAACCATCATAAATATAAGTCAGTTGCTAAGTGTCTGAATTTTGATCACATGACCATGGGGATGCTTCAACGGCCATAAGTGTGAAAAAATGGTCGTAAATCACTTTTTCAGTGACATCATAACAGTTACTAAATGACCTGTTTGTAAGTCTTGTCTCTTTTCTGTAATCGATGTGCTGCTAAAACTCTCATTCCTCTAACCTTTAAACTGGGCAAAATAGCTCTTCCTATGGCAACAATTTTTGAACCAGCGCACACCAAATGGGTGGGACGTGGTGGCTCAGTGGCCAAGACGCTGAGCTTGTCGATCAGAAAAGTTGGCAGTTCAGCGGTTCGAATCCCCAGCGCCACGTAACGGAGTGAGCTCCCGTTCCTTGTCCCAGCTACTGCCAACCTAGCAATTTGAAAGCAGGTAAAAAAATGCAAGTAGAAAAATAGGGGCCCTTTTGGTGGGAAGGGAACAGCGTTCCGTGCACTTTTGGGCATTTAGTCATGTCGGCCACATGACCACGGAGACGTCTTCGGACAGCGCTGGCTCTTCAGCTTTGTAACGGAGGTGAGCACCGCCTCCTAGAGTCAGAAATGACTAGCAAGGATGTGCGAGGGGAACCTTTACCTTTACGCCAAATGGATTAATTTACAGAAGGTGACCAGAATCTGGGACTTACTACTGAACATGAAAAAGCAAAGTCCCATTTTCAAATTCAAAGCAACGGGGGGCGGGGGAGGGACTAACCCTTGGACGGTGAAGAACCTCAAAAGAGACAAGCTTAAGATGAGCATTTTTTAAAAAAGGTTCCTTTAAATTCCATGTTTTAAATTGCCTGCCCAGCCACTAAACAATTGATCTACTCATCTAAAGACTGCCAGGGGAGGGGTAAATGTCCTTTTAAATCCATTTATCTAGATGGCATATGCAGAAAGGAAAACCCGCTGGTGTTATACGAAAAGATTTTTCAAGAGTTTGAGTAAACTAATAAAAATAGTTTTAAAAGCCTTACAAAAGACTTGGACAAACATTTCTCTCTCTGTGCTACCATGTGGCCATCAGACTTGCAAAAACCACACTGTTAGTTTATCTTGCATTGTTCGATAATCCAATCTTCGTTACGTTGCAAGGTAAGGTGTACCCCAATGGCCTTTGCTGGTGTTTGCTTACAAAATGGTTGGGAATGGCGGTTTCCTTTGTGGGTGTCCCCCCCCCCCCCCCCCCGTAATTTCCCTACACTGTGTAAAGTCTTCTCCTGAGTAAATTCTTTTTTCCTTGGCGGGGTGAAGAATTGAGTTCATTTTCCAATAGTCTTTTTGGTGGGATATATACGTTTTTCACAACTACAACTACACTTGGTTTAACACCTGGTGGCTGGCTGGCTTCCTAAAAATGTTTTTTTTTTCAAATTGGGGGTGGGTGGGATGCCCTTCAGGACATTGGCTCTCAAGATCAATGGCCTCTAAGTTTTACTCTGAGGGGTAGAGCTTACAGACTAGTAACACTGCAAATACCATGCCTTCCTGGATTGCTGCACCTTAGTCACCCCAAAATATAAAATCCCGATCAATATTTTAGACTGCCCAAATCCTTGGAGCAGAGGTGAGAAATACCAGTTAGAGGATCCAAAATGGGACGCTTCTTGACCTCAGATCTTGTAGCTGCAGTGGATTTTAATTCTAGTTTTTTTTAAAAAAAAAAAAAACTTAAGTGATTTGAATCACTTCATTTCCTTCTTCTTAAAGCTCTGTGGTCTGGGCTTAAAGAGATGATGTTCATGTACTGCATAGCTTGCAATTACAAAGGAATTGCACTCACATCTGTGAAAGCAGTTCGGAACTGGAACTCAGATGTGGGATATTCAAGTTTAAAGAGGAAGTGACATAAAGAGGGTGCAACTAACCATAAATGGTACGTCCATCTTTAAAATACAAGGTTTTCCTGCATAACTAGGGGCAGAAAAAAAGCAGGAACCCTGTGTTTAGTAGGAACACAATGCACCTCTTGGAGGCCCAGGGAAAACTGCCAATGTTCTGTTGCTTCTTCTCACTCCAGTACTTCTGGATATGAATCTAGCTTAGATTCTAAGGTGAGATATGGCAGGTTTCATGCAGTTGCATCGGAAGAAAGATTGTGGGTTTGTGGAGTACCAACCATTGGAGAACACTGGACACATTCATTCTGACTGCAAACTGTACTCTACAGAAAGGGCTGCTTACTTAGATTATTTCAGAAATAAATAATACTGGGGCACCTGGGGAAAACTTTTTTTAAAACTTTTGGCAGGGAACAAGCCTGCATATCACGAAGGATAGATTCCTAGGGCTGGAAGGGACCTGGAAGGCCTTCTAGTCCAACCCACTGCCCAAGGCAGGAGTCCTTATAGCATTTCTGGATAAATGGTTGTCCAATCTTTTCTTGAAAACTTCCAGCGATGGAGCACCAGACAGCATTGGCGTTCCATTGATGGTTCTATCAAGGAAATTCCTCTCTAGTTCCAAGTTGAATCTCTCTCTGAGCAACTTCTATCTGTTGCTTCTTGACCTACCCTTAGATGCTACGGAGAATAAATCGATCTCTTCTTCCCTGAGATAGCCCTTCAAGTATTGGAAGATGGCTACCAAGTCAAAGGCCATTTCAAAGAGGGTGGAATATTTAGATCAGATTGGGGTTACCTTGCAGGGATGATGACTTGTTGTGAACATGTCCTATTTTCTGTGTATTTTTATTAGTTGTATCTTTGTGTATTTGTATTAGTTTTATATTTTAAATGACTACATCAATGAAACTTCTTTTCTATGCTCTACTGGATGTCAATCAATCATCTTGCAATTTCCCTGCTGCCAATTTCCTCCATTAAACTCAGATCTGTTTTGTACCCAAGTCAGAAAACCCAACCTATATGGATTGGGTCTTAAGGTCACCTGGAAATGTCCAAGAAAATAACCACACCCCAAATGCTAATTTTTAATCAGAAAAAGCATTGCCTTTACATACCTCACAGTTACAACTTTATCAACCCAGTTCCCTGTCAGTTGAAAAGAGTTGGTGCCAAAACCATTCAATTCTGAAAAATGAAGTGACAAAACAAACAAACAAACAAACAAGGAATGTGTGAATGGTTTTACTCACTGGTTATAAATAAACGCTAAATCAGTGTACAAGGTTTGACCATTTTGTAGTCTAATTCAGGCAAAGCTTCTTCGAATGTCAAGAAAAATTATCAGCAGTTATTCTGAGACTGAGGAGAAGGATCAGTCAAAAGAGGAACACAAAATAGGACATAGGAGGGACCATCAAGGCAGAAAGATAACCAGAGGAGTAAAAAGATGGAGAGAAATTGGGAATGGGAAAGAAACTAATACAGCCATCAAGATTTAACAGTGAGAATTGCATTTCGAAGCAGCCATCGAAAGCACTGTTCTTAAGTCCATGGCATCAGTATTAATGAAAAATATTTTGGCTATGTTTCTCGGAGTGATCCTTTTGCAATAGAATATAGTGTTTTATAAACTTATTTGCTTTTTAGCCACATGCACAGAGGGAGATGAGGAGGAAAAAAAAAACCACTTGGGAGAACATACTAAGCCAAACAATAGACTGAAGGGAAAAAAGCAAGATTTTTTTTTTTCTGCAGTGGTCCTTGCTTTGTGGAACATCCTCCCTTCAGAAACCAAAATGGCCCCAACACTGTTAGTCTTTCAAAAGGTCCTAAAAACCTGGTTATTTTCCCCCAAGTCTGGGACGCTGAATGTGCCAAAGGACTATTTTCCTGGCTATATTTGCTAACAAGCCCGATATCTTGCTCTCGTATATCTTGAATTGGCTGTTTCTAATGTTTTTACTCTTTTTGTTTTAAATAGAGCAAAATAGAATAATAGAGTTGGAAGGGACCTTGGAGGTCTTCTAGTCCAACCCCCTGCCTAGGCAGGAAGCCCTACA